AGATTTCACAGTGGGCTGTAGGAAGGGGCTGCTAATGAATCAATGTTTGCAAAGACTGCAACTGTGACACACAGGTGTCTTGAAAGGCTATAGGACAGAGTCCAAGCTCAAGGCCCTTTGTATAAGCTCACAAGTAGCCAGTCCTTACTCTTATTCAGTTAGGAGAAGATAATAAGGGATGGAACAAGCTGGGCTTGGGAGGACCTTCCCCCTCCCCTTTTTTTCCCCAGAGCTGAGGACTGAACCCAGGGCCTTGCGCTTGCTAGGCAAGCACTCCACCACTGAGCTAAATCCCCAACCCCTCCCTTTCTTAACACAAGATATGTATCCTTGGCTAAGGTCAAGTTAGAAAGATGAAAACAAAACAAAACAACAAAACCCTGAGGCCATGGAGGAAGCTGGCAGAGAAGGGCTTCTGAATACTCTTTGAATCAAGTTTTCTTTCTCTATGCCATGGACTTGGGGTCCTCAAGTTCTCAAGAATTCTGCACAGCACGAAGACTATGTGGGGAGACTGAGAAAGACTTCCCTGGAAATTTGCACCCTATGGGAAATGATCAGGCAGAACACAGCAAAGCTATACTCAATCCCAAAACAATATTAAAAAGAGATTTCCATGCTTCTGGTCTTCATCTAATGGAGGAATTAAGTAATGTTCCAACTGAGACATGCTTTGAGAAAAGCTTATTTTCAGGCTCCAGTCCTTTCTAAAAATGGGTGTGTTGTGGCTGGCCAAGGCATCTGTCCAAAATAAAAAGGTCACATACAGAAAACAAGTACATGAGGGGTCTTACCCTCCCAGAAGCTCAGGAAGATCACACACACACACACACACACACACACACACACACACACACACACACACACACACCACATTCCCATAGGTGAGCACAGGTCAGGTGCAGTTAAGAGCCACCTAGGGGCTCCAAAGACAAGGCCCCACCCTTCCTACACTCAGAGCCATTAACCAATGGAGGGTGACTACTCTGGGAGTGAAGAGCAGAAGGTCTGCCTACCTGCTTGGACAGCCCACTTGACCTCAGAGAACAGCACTTGGTCACATCACTGTCAACCATTTCTTCAGAAAGTTTGTCATACAGAATACTAACTCTTCCTCCTACTCCCTTCTCACTTTCTGCCTGTGCACTTGACTCTATGGACCGTATCCAGAACCTCACTTAATAACTCTTATTGTATTTGTTCTTTTATATCTCGACTTAGCAAAAGGTCTTCACAAACCTTGAAGGATATGTCAGTATTTCCCTTCATTTATGAGGCCAAGTAATATTCTATGTCCATACAGATGTATTCACATAGCTTGAACCACTTTTCCCTTTTGTCTATGGTGAATGACATAATTCTGAGTAGGATGTACAAACACTATTCACCCAAAGGATTTGGTTGAACATTCCCCCATAGATGGACTAATAGGAATGCATTTCATCTACCCACTTTTGGAGGTTGCTTTTTTGGCAATATGAAGACCTTTAAAGCCGGACTGCTGTAATGTCTGCACCTCTGTCCCTCCTCAGCTGCCAGGCCAGCCCTTGGCTTTACCTCAGACTTGGTAGTTTCAGAAAACAACAAACACAAGCTGCCCACCTCCCAAGAAGTACAGCCCTTATCTGTCATGGACAGAGACAATGCTAGCTATTGGAGCAAGCACTTCCCAATGAGGTGCCAGGAAGGTTGGGCCCTCTGCTCTATAAGCCTCAGTTTCCACCCTGTAAAAGTAGCCACAGGCTTGCTTATCTCCCTTTGGTCCTTGCCAACTGCATGGACTGTGCCAGCTTCTATATTCCAATGTCTGCCACAGGCTTCAGTTCTTTCTGCTACTGTAGTATCTTCCAGAAAGTTCTCTGGACTCACCAAGAGGGTAGCATTGGCATGTGACATCTATACTAACAAGGGTTATGGGGATGAGACTTTCCTTGGGTTGATGGCATAGCTCCACAGTAATCAATGTGGGAGTATATGGCCAACAGAATATCTTGGACCCACGTAGTCCACCCCAACCTGGCAACTTGAGTGTGCACCTGGGTAGTTGGAAGAGTAACCAAGGCCCCTGCAGCATCTGTCATTCATGACTGTGAGAAAAGAAAGCAAACTATTTATCCATCCAAGGAAGAGTAATAAATAAGTCTGATTCTATCAGACCCCGACCCTAATGACAGCCAAGCAAGTGGGATAAACAAGCCTGACTTATTCAGACCCTGACCTGTGACAGCTAAGGAAACAAAGCTATAATCAATCAGATGAATCTCCAGTTCCATGAAGAGAAATCTTGGTACTAAAGTATGCATAGTAAGTTGACAGGCGTTAATAAACACAAACAATCCTTGCTGTGAAGGTGACAAAGGATGTGTAGGAGTGAGGGATAGTAGTACTCCCTTCCCAATCTGAGCTTCCTTCCAAGCTGTCTGCTAAATGTGCCCTGCACATTTAACTTAAAAATAAAATGGGTATAGATCTGAAAATGCTGGTCTTTCACATGCAGGGGTAAGGAATACACAGAAGGCTGGGAAGGAAGAAAGTAGCCTAACTTCAGGTGGTCACCACTGTGGGTGGGAAACAAGGACAGAGGACAGGACTGTCATCTATGTCACAGCCTAGAAAATATGTTCTCTTCACAGAGACACTTGCATACCATACTGTTTCTACAACAGTATTCACTATAGCTAAGTCATGAAACAACTTAAATGTCCAACAACAGAGGAATGCATAAAGAAAAAGTGGTTTAGATAAACATGGAATTCCTTTCAGTCATTAAGAAGAATAAAGCCGTATCATTTATGGGGAAGTGGATACAAATGGAAAGAATCTCACTAAACCAGACTCAGAAGAACAAATATTGCCTGTTTCTCTAATTTGTGGTTCCTAGATTTTATATAGATACACAAAGTCACATATGTATAATATGACATACAAGCATAAGCTAAACTATTAGAACAGTGGGGACCAAGGTAGCAGGCAGGGTAGAGAGTCTTATCTTTTAAGAAAAATTTGTTTTACTTATGTGTATGTGTTTCATGAATCCTAAATGGTCTTATAATAAAAAACCAGAGCCGGATATTGGGGTAAATACTGCAAAATTAGAGAAAACAAGCCACAGTCATTTCTCACCTTGACAACTACTCAGCCAATCCTGTCTCCATGAATCCTCAGACTGAATGCCTCTGAGTCCTCAGTCAAAAGCTCTCTAGTTCCCTTCTCCTCATGCCTTATATGCCTTTCTCTGCCCAGCCATTTCACTTCCTATTCACTTCAACCTTCCTAGCACTGGGATTAATGGCATGTGTGCTTCCCAAATACTGGTAGCAAACGAATGAGATCTCAAGTGCTGGGATTAAAGGTGTGTGTTACCACGGCCTGGCTCTGTTTCTTCTAGACTGGATTAATCTTGTGTAGTCTAGGGTAGCCTTGAACTCACAGAGATTCAGATGGATCTCTGCCTCTGCCTCCTGAGTGCTAGGATTAAAGGTGTGTGCCACCATTGCCTGACCTCCCTGGCTAACTCTGTGGCTAGCCCTGTCCTCTGATCTTCAGACAAGCTTTATTTCCAAGATGACAAAAATATATCACCACGTGCGTGCAGATAGCCTTGGAGTCCAGAAGAGGGTGTCAGATCCCTTGGAGCTAGAGTTACAGGAGGTTGTAAGCTGCTCAGTGTGGGTGCTAGGAATCAAACTTTGGCCCTCTGGCAGAGCAGCAAGCACTCTCAACTGCTGAGCCATCTCTCTAGCCCAAATCTATATTCTTTTTATGTGTACAGAAGTATACTTTGAAGAGTTGTAATGAATGGCACTGACGTGGGGGGGGGGGGTCCCTTTTCCTCTTACAGCAAGACTTTCTCATCTGATGGCCATGGGAACCACAGTGGCAGGGATGTCCCACTACCCATGTGGGGAAGGTCTTTAAGTTTGGAAGATAAGCTGAATATTAGGCAAATGAGGTATTTTTAATATGGGGGCACATTTAGGGCCCAAGGATATAAAATGCATATTAATAATAATAATAATCATTAATAATAAGATAGTAAATACAAGGTGGTAATGTGAATACAGCAGGCCAAAGTTAATCTTTGATTTTTGATATTTCTTGAACTCAGTATTGAGATTTCTTTAGACTTTCTGGTCAGTCTCATGTGTGCATCTGGCTTGTAAACTCTGAGCAATAGGACTAATTCTATACCACATCTCACTGGCTCAGAAACTGCCTCGCACGGTTGACTTCACATACATACACTCACCAGCTTTACTGAGAGGCCATAAATTCGGCCTTTTAGGCTATGCATTCAAATGCTTTCAACACATTTGTAGTTGGGCAGCTATCACCAGCAACAAACCCCCTGCTTCTTGGGAACCACTCCAGTGCCCACCAGGCCCTTCCCCACCCAGGTCCTGGCATCTCTAGCCTTGTTCTACTATATCTATATATTAGATCTATTAGATCTATAGTTTATCTGTTTGGGGCATTTCAGATAATGGAATCACACAACACAGATGTTTCATGTGGCATGATGTTTGTTGTTTTTTTGAGACAAGGTCTTGTGTAACCCAGTTTGGTTTGGAACTCACTATGTAGCTGAGGATGACCTTGAGCTTCTGATCTTCCTGCCCCTACCTTCAGAGTATTAGGATTACAGGTATGCACCACCATACCTAATTTATATGCAAGAGATCAAACGCAGGGCTTCATGCATGCTAGGCAATCATGTTCCCTATTGAGCTACCTCTCTAGCCCCCAGTACCATGTTTTCCAGGTTCACAGATGGTATGCACACATGTGTTTGTATTTCTGTCCCTCTCAATGCTGATTGATATTCTCTTATGTGCAGACTTTTTTAAACATCCATTTATCCAACAATAGGCTGACCACTTCTCCCCAGAATAATGGTTCTATATTTTCAGTAATTCTGAAGCAAAGCACTTGGCTTAGCTCCAGATTGGCATTCACTCAGCATGCAGGGGAAAATAGCACAGCTCAAACACCCAGCTCACCTTCTCCTGGGCCGACTTGACCACACTAGAGACATCTCCAACTGTTAGCTGCAAGGACTGTGGCTGTGGCTTCTGCTGGAAAGAGAGATGCAGTGGGCCCTGGAAGAGAAAGGTTGTGAGGAGAAATTCATAAATGTAGCCTGGGTTTTATTTATTTCTAAATACAAATTGCTACAAAACAAACCAACAAACAAACAAAAAACACCTGTAACAGAACATCCTAGCAATGGTTAAATCAGTAGGTTTATACCCCCGAGAACCTGCCAGTGTTGGACTTGACAAGCACTTGACAAGCAGGATCCTGTGAGGAGGGAAGGATGGACAGGGCAACTGACTCAAAGTGAAGCATCATGTTGAGCCCCAAGATTCAGGATGGGAGAGAAGTGCAGCTTAGGGCAGGCTGTGGGTACATCTTGCCTTCTTTGTTGTGTCTCTTCCTTACGAAGGAAGTGCTCTTCTCTGGATGAAGGGAATTACCTCTCCTGCTTTATGAGGTTATAGAGGCATTGCTACTTGAGGTACCATCTCCCTTCTCCTCTTCCACTGCTGGGCAGAAACCCAGGACCTGGCATCTTTCTGGGATGTGAAATGACACAGAAGGCTGCTGGCTGGAAAGGAGCCTGTCTGGTGGCTGTGTCCTCAGTCTCTGCCTCACAGTCCTCCAGAGGTGCCTAACTCCCAAGCCACTGGAACTCCATGCATTCTCCAGTGGACACTGTGTCTCTCTTGTTTTTCTTTTATTTCTTTTTTTGGTGTGTATGTTTATTATGTATGTATGTAAACATTTGTGTGTGTGAGTGCATGCACATGCCTGTCACAGTCTGAATGTGGAGGTCAGAGGAAAATGTTGGGTGTCAGTCTTCACCTTGGTTCATCCTTGTTTGAGCAGTCTACATGCACCAGGCTAGCTGCCAATCAACTTCCAGATATTTTCCTGCCTCTGATCTCTCCATGTGAGCTCCAAGATTATAAAGACACATTCTACCACACATGACTTTTACATGGGTTCTGGGGATTCAAACTCAGATCCTCATACTTGTGCAGCAAGTGGTTTTACCTATTTAGCTAACCTCTCTTTTTTTTCTGGGGTGGAGGAGTCTTACAAGTTAAAAATTTCCAAATGAGGGCTGGGGATACTGCTCAGCTGGTGAAGTTCTTATCTAACATACATGAAGCTTTAGATTCAATTGGCATGGTGCTCTATCTCTGAAATCCTAGCACATGAGAGGTGGAGGCAGAAAGATCCAAAGTTCAAGGCCATTCTTGGCTACATATTGAATTTGATGGCAGCCTGGGTGACACAAGACCCTGTTGTTTGTTTTTGTTTCTTGTTTGTTCTTTAAATCTCCAAATGGTATATATATAAAATCAATGTGACTATAAGGCAGTAAAATTGATTCTTTAAAAAGTAAATATGGGCTTATACAGCAAGCCAAGGACTATCCTCTTAAAATGAGTTCTCTGGAAAGTCCCAGCTTATATACCAAGATATTCTTAGAGTGAAACCTTCTTTAACTTTTCCTGCCAGATAGTCTTTCTTGTCTAAAGTTCTGACTGAGTGTCAAGAAGCTGCTGCCTTATGTGTGTCCTGTAAGTGAGGACTCCATGGCAGTGAGCTAGTTACCTATATGGGTATGAGCAAAGATAGGAGAGAGAACTGGCATATAATGGGACCAGAGGTGCTTGGGCAGGCCTAGCACAGAAGAGTAGTGACATAACTCTCTCTATATATTTCTTAAGAATTCTCAGAGATCAAAGTCAACCATAAAACACATAGTTCATTTTTATTTAGGATTTAGAACCTCACCCTGTGCTAACAGCACCCACCTCACTCCTTAAACATCATGAGAGGTGGTAAAATCTACATTGAGGGAGGGATGAAGTCACCATCTTTAGGCTATACTGGCAGAGTCTGGGACCGGAGCTGGCTTTGGTGGCAGCAGCTGGCTAAGGACCCTATGAACTTGCTGAAGTCACTGCACTATGAGCTGACCATATGTGGCACAGAGGCCAGTGCCAAGCAGGTAGGTGCCATCAGCAGAGTGCTCAGATGCTGAGGTAAGCCAGCAGAACAGAGCACCCCAGAAAAGCCTGGAAGCACAGGGCTGCCTTCTTTCCACCGGACAGACTATGTCCCAGAGCCACAGCAGGGCAGGTAGGGTGGACACTCCTTCTTATGGTGCCTTCTGGACAAAACCTTGGAAAGACCTTTAATGACCAGGCATGCATGCTCTTACAAAGGACATACAATGCAAGTTAAAATAAGGATGGAGGAGACTACCTTTCTACTTCTAATCCACCTGCCCCTGTGGACTCAGGAGTAAAGTGAGACCACAGCTTTCAACCAATTCCTGCACTGCTGATGTTCTGCCCAAGGCTAGCAACACCAGTCCACAGCCATCTGCCCTGACTAAAGGAAGACTCTGAATACACACGAGAAAACTCTCATGTAAGAACTGCCAGAAAAACACATATTTACACACACCCCATTACAAACACACATATACACACAACAAACAAACAAACAAAACCTGAGAAGTAATGTGGGTGACCCTTAGACCCTGACCCATTTTACAGAGCTTCTGTGATTAAAACTGTGGCTCTGAGTAATGAGGGGGAAAAAAAATTCAGAACAGACCAACTGAAGTAGAAGCTCAGCCACAGGACCTCAAGTGGAAAACTCCACACCGTGAACCTTTGTTTCAAGCACAGGATTGTGCTTGAGAAAAACCTGTGTCAAGTTACTTTCAGTATGTGCTGGCCCGGACACCATGCACACTCCTTAAGGTGTACATGAAACAGAAAAGAAGTTCATATTAGGCTCAGGTCCCATCCCTGAGATATCTAATTATGCATATGCAAATATTTCAGAATCAGACATCAAGAACACTTCTGGCCCAAGAATTTCAGATAGGAATGTTGCATGTAGTAACAGTAACAACCCAAGGCACTGGGAAGGTGGGGTTAATTTTAATATTTAGTGCACTTGAAGAAGTCCTCCATGTGAATTCTGGGGGTTGAACTCTGGGCATCATGCTTGGCAGTAAGCATCCTCACTCCGAGCCTTCTCTCCAACTTGATTTTTTTCCTTAGTATTTTATTTTCTTATGTATATTTTTAGTGTAGGAGAGGGCATGTGCATGACTTAGCATGCATGTGGAGGTCAAAGGACAATTTGAGAGGGTTCTCTTCCACCAAGTGGGGTCTAATGATTGAACTCCAGTCATCAGGCTTAGCTACAGACACCTTTAAACCAAGATGTGAAAGAAACTAGACAGAAAAACAAACACTCACAAGGAAGCCTAGCATGACACATGAACTATATAACCACTCAAAGTGGGTAGGAGGATAGATATTAAGAACATTCAGAAGACCATCCTGACTGTGCACAGAGCCTGTAATCCAGCACATGTGTTTCTACAGGGTTAGCAATGTGTGAGTTACCAATGTGATCAAATAACTAACCAAGCAAAAAAACTAAAAGTGAAGAAGAGACTGATGTCTCAGTTGGTAAAGCTCTTGCTGTGCAAATTGAACACCTGAACTGCATCCCTAGTGCCTAAGCAAAACAGTCAGGTGTATTGACACTTGCTCGTAATCCTAATAGGGGAGGTTGCGCTGGCAGACACAGGAGGTTACTGGAGGCTAACAGTCAATGAGTTCTAGGCCAATGAGAGATCCTCTCTCAAAAAACAAGGTAGATGGCACCTGAGAAATGGCAGCTGAGATTTTCCTTTGGCACAGGCAAACATACACATGAGGGTGGGGACACGTACATACACACAACAGAAGAAAGAAGACTAAGATGAACCCTGCTGTTGAACTAAAAAGCAGAGTACTGATATGCATTCGTGGTTTAGAAGTCAAATACTGATAGACATGAAAACACACATTTTCATGCCCACAGTTATGCTGAAGCTCTGTCCACTGGAAGGGTCTAGAACACCGAGAGCTAAGTAGTGGTATGCATACATCCTTTTCCAAATAAATGGAACTGAAGTTTCTCAGAGAAGTGGTTTGATCCAGGGTCAGAGGAGGAGGAAATACAAGGAGAGCAACACACACACATACAAACACACAACACACACACATGCATGCACACGCACACACATACATGGCCTTATGGGACCATAAAGCAAGAAAAGAAACACAAGTGTGGGCTGATGAAGAACACAGCTGGCTAGAGAAACACACAGCAGCAATTTAGGCAGCAAAGTAATATAATGAATGGGACAGGGTTAGGACCCACAGAATAATTTAAAGAACAAACAAAACACAAGTCTACAGTGATATACAACCAGCTAAATATACGTGGAGGAGTGACCATTCCCTCTCTCAGCAGAGGTCCAGTTAATAACATAAAGGAGGAAATAGCAAATCACCATTAAGGAAGCTCTATGTAGGTAGTTGTTGCTGGTAAGTCACACTGAGGGACACTAAATTGAGAACAGAAACATCCAAGGATACATCTCCCAAGACATGGTAACTGCAGCCACATGTGGAGCCATCTCACAGGACCCACATTCCTAGTAGCAAGTTACACCAATACCGTGACCTCCTCAATACTGAACAGTCATGGAGTACTGTTTCTTGTAGCATGAATCTTAGAGAGTCTTATTAATAAAATCAAACCCGGGGCCAGTTTTGGGGTGAAATGCTGGATGGTCAGAGAGACAGAACAAGCCACAGCTATCTCACCTTACCAATTCCTCAGCTGGTCCTGTTTCCTCAGACTAGAAGCCTCTGAGTCCTCATCCAGAATGAATCTCAGCTGAACTGTGTTGCTCCAAAGCCTGAAAGCTTAACCAGCCAAATGCTTAACCAGCCAAATGCTTCCAGTTTCTGGTCCTCACACCTTATAAACCTTTCTGCTTTCTACCACCACTCCCTGGGATTAAAGGCTTGCTTTCTGGGATTAAAGGCGTGAGTCACCATGCCTGGCTGTTTCCAATGCGGCCTTGAACTCACAGAGATCCAGAGGGATTTCTGTCTCTGGAATGCTAGGATTAAAGGCGTGTGCTAACATTTTCTAGCCTAAGTATCTTGTGGCTTTTCTGTTCTCTGACCCCAGATAAGTTTATTAAGGTACACAATATTTT